TCCGTACTGTAGAATGCAGAAGAAGAAATTTCAACACACTTCAGCAATAAAAAATAAGTAATTTTTGCTTATTAGTATGATTGAACTGGATCATCGAAGGTCAGAAGCAAAGACATTGGTTAATAGAATGGGATTAAATACATAAAGGATATTTGTGTTGTTTAACATTTAATTATTGCAGGTTCGCGTCATATTCTGAGTTGCATTAATTTGATTCATTTTGAGGAATACTGAATCTGTGTGCTTTTTTTGTGAGTGAGATGAATTAATGCATATTCATATTTATTTTAGAACTACAGTAACATCTTCTGATTTCTCTCAACATGGGGACAGGAGAGCTGTCAATCAATAAATTGGAAAAAAAAAAGTAACTTGCGTTACTTTTTTGAAAAAGTAACTGAGATATTCTCTTGTAAATTAAAAAGTAATGTGTTACTTTACTAGTTACTTGAAAAAAGTAATCTGAGTACGTAACTTGCGTTACTGCGTTACCCCCAACACTGTAGTTCACTAGTAACAAAAATATCTTGCAACTAATGCTTTAACTTGGACAGCTCTAAATTCTACACAATAAATATTTCCTTCATGCAGGTTGCTGTCTGACACGTTTTTCCGGTCCCTTTTGATTGACAGGTTATAATCGGCCCTGATAATTGGCTGTGTTTTAAACAATCAGATGATGGCCAAAAGTGCAGATAATAATGCTATTTTTTTGTGATCAACATGTTATTGTGTTTTCTTGCTAACAGAGTCACCACTATTGACAGTAACAAACTTTCTCCAAACCATTTCAGTGTGGAGATAACTGCTATATAACAGAAATAAACAGAAAAAAAGTATACATTAAAAAAAATAACTACATTCGTAGTGTCAGAGATGAATGATATGCAGGAAGAAAGTGTCTAACAAAATAAAGAGGACCAAAGAGACAAAATATAGAGAAAACACCAATGGAACCCGCAGTCTTATTTGTTACATCTTAGTGCATTCTTCTATCCTATTCTTTTACATCAGTTAACTTTTAAGAATGAAAATCAAGTTGTCAAGTTGAGTCACCTTTATTTATATAGCGCTTTATACAATACAGATTGTGTAAACAGGAAAATAATGTCAATAATGTAGGAGGACAATAGTAAACTGTCAATATTTCAGTTAAAGTCAGTTCATTGTTGATTTAGTGATGTTATCATCCAGCTCAGTTCAGTTCTCTTCAAATAGCATCTGTGCAATCAAGCCGACAATATTGCCAGAAATTAAGTGTCCCCAACTAGGCAAGCCAAAGGCAACAGTGGCATGGAACCAAAACTCCATCGGTGACAGAAATGGAGGGGAAAAAAGCCTTAGGAGAAGCCAGGCTCATTTGGGGGACCAGTTCTCCTTTGGCCAGATGAAACCAGCATGGTGTGGTTTAATTCCAGGCTGAAGCACAAGTCAAATTGTGCAGAGGATTTGTCTGGTTCTCATGGTCTTGTGCCAATGGCCATCTAGTTGACAAGGGCTTCGCAGGAGATCTTTCTCTAGGGCTCATCTAGTTGACATGGTCTCCGCTGAAATTTAGGGCTGTAGAGGTCATCTCTAGGTGATGATCCACCATCTGGTCTGGATACAGACTGGATCTAGTTGACTGCAGTGACCATCTAATCTGGATACGGACTGGATCTGGGTGGCTATGGTGACCTCATAATAAGAATGAAACAGACTGAAATTAGCATAGATGCCATTCTTCTTACAATGTGGCAAGTACATCCTAGGTTATGGGAAGTGTTCCTGGTTCTGGTTAACCTAATTAATGCAGCCTTTATCGTATTTAAATTAAAGAAATGTCATGGTGTGTTATGTGTATGAAAGGTTAAAGAGATGGGTCTTGAATCTAGATCTAAACTGACAGAATATGTCTGCCTCCTGAAAAACTCTAACTAGATTGTTCCAGAGTTTGGACACTAAATAGGAAAAGGATCTGCTGCCCACAATTGAATTTGATATTCTAAGTCAAGTCAAGTCACCTTTATTTGTGTAGTGCTTTATACAATACTGGTTGTGTCAATGCATCTTTACAGTGTCAAACAGGAAAATAGTTGGTCAATAATGCAAGACAATAACAAAGAGTCATTTTTCCAGCTAAAATCAGTTCATTGATGATTCAGTGATGCCATCATCCAGTTCAGCTCTCTTCCAATACTGTCTGTGCAATCAGTCAAGCATCTCCAACTAAGCAAGCCAAAGGCGACAGTGGCAAGGAACCAAAACTCCATCTGTGACAGAAATAGAGAAAAAAACCTTGGAAGAAACCAGGCTCAGTCGGTGGGCCAGTTCTCCTCTGGCCAGACAAAACCAGCATGGCGTGGTTTAATTCGAGGCTGCAACACAGATGCAGAGGACTTGTCTGTTTCCTGTGGTCTTGTGCCGATGGTCATCGAGGTGATGAGGTCTTTGTCTCTGGGGCGCATCTAGTTGACATGGTCTCCGCTGACATTCAGGGCTGTAGAAGTCGTCTCTAGGTGCTGATCCACCATCTGGTCTGGATATGGACTGGATCTGGGTGGCTACAGTGACCATCTGATCTGGATACAGACTGGCTATGGTGACCTCGGAATAAGAGTGAAAGAGACTAATATTAGCGTACTGTAGATGTAATTCTTCTTACGATGTAGCGAGTACATCGGGTGTTATGGGAAGTGTTCCAGGTTCTGGTTGACCTAATTAATGCAACCTAACAATCCTTTAACAGATTTGAATTATAGAAATCTGTTAGTGTATTATGTGTATGCTAAGTTAAAGAGATGGGTCTTTAATCTAGATTTAAACTGACAGAGTGTTTCTGCCTCCCGAACAACGCTAGGTAGATTGTTCCAGTGTTTGGCCGCTAAATAGGAAAAGGATTTGTCGCCTGCAGTTGATTTTGATATTCTAGGTATTATTAAATGGCCAGAGTTTTGAGATCGCAGTGGATGTGAAGGACTATAATGCGATATGAGCTTGCTCAAGTATTAAGGAGCTGAACCATTCAGGGCTTTATAAGTAATTAGCAATATTTAAAAATGTATTCATTGTTCAATAGGGAGCCAGTGCAGAGTTGACAGAACCGGACTAATATGGTCATACTTCCTGGTTCTAGTAAGAACTCTAGCTGCTGCATTTTGGACCAGCTGGAGTTTTTTTTTTATTAAGCGCGCAGAGCAACCACCCAATAAAGCATTACAGTAATCTAACCTTGAGGTCATGAACGCATTCTGTTTTTGACATTGAAAGCATAGGTCATTTTTAAGATGGAAAAATGCAGATTTACAAATGCTATAAACATGGTTTTCAAAGGAAAGATTGCTATCAAATAGCAGACCTAGGTTCCTAACTGATGCCGAAGAATTAAAAGAGCTGCCATCAAGTGTTAGACAGTGTTTTAGGTTATTACATGCGGAGGTTTAGTCCAATAATTAAAACCTCTGTTTTTTTCAGAATTCAGCTGCAGAAAGTTACTAGTCATACAGTTTTATTATATCAACTATGCATTCCGTTAGTTTTGCGAATTTGTATCTTTTGTCGGGCCCCAAACAAAGAAATTGTAATATGCGCACATCCAAAAACTTTAGGCAGGTGCTCGATCACATGGAGCACTTCGCTGTCAATATACAAAAACCGGCACACTGCCACTACTGCTCTCAAAGACAACGTTTATTAAAATCACAACATTTCGACACTCAGGTCTTAGTCAGGGAAACAAGAAGTGATCAGAAGAATACAATTTACCAACATGATATATCACATATATATAATATATTTGTATATATTCATCAAACAAATTACCCTATTATGAATGAACGAAATGAACGAAAACGAAGAGGAAAAAACAGAAAAGACCTATATCCCATATATACATATTACATTACATATCGGGCCACGAAGAAATATAGAGCTGAGTATCATCAGCATAACAGTGAAATCTAACACCATGCTTCTTGATGATATCTCCCAAGGGTAACATGTAAAGTGTGAAAACCAACGGTCCTAGTACTGAGCATTGTGTTACTCCATACTGTACTTGCGATCGATATGATACCTTGTCATTCACTGCTATGAATTGATGACGGTAAGATAAGTAAGATGACAAAGCAATTCCACTAATGCCAACATCATTTTGTAGTCTACTCAAAAGAATGTTGTGGTCGATAGTGTCAAACACAGCGCTAAGATCCAGTAGCACTATTAGAGAAATACCACGATCGGTCGATAAGAGCAGGTCATTTGTAACTCTGATGAGAGCAGTCTCAGTTCTATGATACGGTCTAAATCCTGACTGGAAATCGTCACAGATACCATTTCTCTCTAAGAAGGAGCATAGCTGAGAGGAGGGGAATGGGATTGGGAAAGATCCATGAGCCAGGACTCAAACTCAGGAGACCCAAAGTGCAATGGTGCTTTGTCAACACCACTAACCCACCACCACAACACGATGCCCATGAGGCTAACGGTGCTGACAAACAGCTGAATTTTTCGGGATTCGGGATGATGGTAGGATGACCCGATGTAGAACAAAGATTTCAGGGTTTCATCATTGTAAGGGGAGGTGACAGCGAGATGGCTGAAATTTGCAATTAAATCCCATGAATTGTGGCTCATTTGAGTCACGGCAGCGAACTTAGCTGCGTAATCCATTTAAGGGTTCAGTCTTCTGTCACAATGTGTTGTAAACGACAGGCAGAGAAGAAATTTATTCCTTAACACAAAGTCTTTAATCCAAAATGCACTGGCAAACATGACAGGA